GCCAGCAGGCCAGCACACTAGCCAGCACGCCCGCCAGTGCGCTAGCCAGCACGCCCACCATTGCGCTAGCCAGCCTGCTAGCCAGCGCGCTAGACAGCACGCCAGCCTTCGCGCCAGCCAGCTAGCCAGTGCGTTAGCCAGCTAGCTCGCCAGCCGCGTTAGCCAGCGTGCTGCCAGCAACTGCTGCTAGCTCCTTGCCAGCAGCGCCAGCCAGCTAGCCGCCAGCAGCATCCACCAGCTCGCCGCCAGCAGCTGCTGCCAGCCACTTGCCAGCCCCGCCAGCCAGCTAGCCGCCAGCAGCGTCCGCCAGCTCGCCGCCAGCAGCGCCCGCCAGCTAGCTGCCAGCAGCGTCCGCCAGCTCGCCGCCAGCAGCTGCTGCCAGCTACTCGCCAGCAGCGCCGGCCAGCTAGCCGCCAGCAGCGTCCGCCAGCCCGCCGCCAGCAGCGTCCGCCAGCTAGTCGCCAGACAGCCGCTGCCACTTCAGCTGCCACTGCCGCTGAAACCACTGCTGCTGCCACTGCCGCCTCTACTGCTGCAACTGCCGCCTGCAGCCACTGCCACTGCCGCAACCTCTGCAGCCACAACCGCAATCGCTGCAGCCACTGCCACTGCCGCAGCTGCTGCCCCCACTGCTGCTGCTACAGCCGCCGCTACCGCAGCTTGTGCTGCCACCGCTGCCACTGCCGCAGCTGCTGCAGCCACTGCCGCTGCTGCCTCTGCCGCTGCAGCTGCCAGCTGCAGCCGCCACTGGCGCCACTGCCCTTGCAGCCGCCACTGCAGCCACTGCCGCCGCTACTACTGCTGCAGCTACGGCCGCCACTGCTGCTGCTGCCACTTGCGCTGCCACTGCCACAGCTGCTGCCACTGCGGCCGCTGCTACTGCAGCCACTGCCACTGCCACCTCTGCTTCTGCAGCCGCCAGCTGCAGCCGCCGCTGCCCGTGCAGCTGCCGCTGCCACCGCTGCCCTTCCAGCCGCCACTGCCGCCGCTGCCCTTGCAGCCGCCACTGCCGTCACTGCCCTTGCAGCCGCTGCTGCCGCCGCTGCCCCTGCAGCCGCCACTGCCGCCACTGCCCTTTCAGCTGCCGCTCCCACAGCTGCCGCCGCTGCCTCTGCAGCCGCTGCTGCCGCTCCTACCACCACTGCTGTTGCCAACTGTCAGCTTAAGCCTCCAACAGCCTGGCCACCAGCAGCCAGCACCAGTCGCCAGCCGCCAGCAGCCGACCGCCGGTAGCCTGCCGCCGACCCCCAGCAATCAGCCGCCAGCTGCCACCACTCATGGCCAGCCGCCAACCATCAGCCGTCAGCCGCCAGTCGCCAGTTGGCCACGAGCCTCGTGAGTCCCCTGTGCCCTGTGGACCGTCAATTGCCATGTGCCGCCAGTCCTAGTGACTCCTAGCTAGCCCCTCGGTGTGCTGCTCCTAGTAGCTCCTCTCGTACTTACTGTACTTCCTCCTCGTTTTCTCCCTACTCATCCTAGCAGCTACAGCTCGCCGCCACTGCCGTCTTACTGTCACTCGCTCCTGCTACCGTCAACCTGCCGCTAGCCGCTGCTACTACTAGCCTCCTACTCGCTGCCACTGCTCTGTAGCACCTAGTGCCTCCCACTAGTCTCCTCCTCGTTTTTGTAGTTCTTCGCTGCCACTCCTCTTGACATGATGGCCTCGTAAGGGTCTGTCCTCGGCCAGACCATTGGGCACTTCTCGGCGCTCTTCAGTTTCTCGCGCACCGGCTACAGCTGGTGAGCCCGCACCTAGACTGCACACTCCTAGAGGATCACATTAGTTACCTCCTTGGCTTCTGGCTCCACGACATCGACGTCTTCTTCCGGGCTCTTTGGCCAGTGCCGCAGCTGCAGCAGCAGCAGCCGAAGTGGGGTCTTGAGGGTGTTGGGCACGGTGGGGGCTCTGGAGGTGCAGCCCAAGGGCGGTCACTGCCCTGGGGCCACTGTGGTTTCTCTGGAGGACCGGGGGCCTTGGGGCCTAGGGGTCTAGGTCCCACCACTGTGTCTAGTGTAGGAGCCTCTACTACGTTTCCCCTGGGCTCCTCCCCCGCCCCTCTTGCGGCGGCCCTCTCCTTTATCCTTGACTCGGGCGCATCTTGTTGCTTCTTTAGGGACAGCAATGCTCTCACCCCGCTTCCTTCGCCCGTCCGCGTCGCACTAGCAGACTCCTCCGCCACAGGTGTTGCACGTAGCACCACCACTCTCCCCTGTCCAGCTGTCCCCTCCGGCTCCCTCACCGGTCTGCACATCCCCTTGTTTGCCAGGAACCTTGTGGGTGTCAATTACCTTTAGGACCAAGGCATCACCACTACGTTCCCTGGCCACAAGAGACACGCCGCTTGCACAAACACAGCCACCTGTCAGCACTTAGCCACTTTTGAGCTTGACCCAGGGTGAGGTCTCTTTACACTGCACATCGAGTCCCCGCCGACTGCTGTGTCTGCCGCGGTTGCTGCGTTCTGCTCCTGTTGCTCGTTAGCCCACCCGACCCTTCTGTGGCACCACCGCTTAGGTCACCCTGCACTCCCGCGTCTTAGGCACATGTCCCAGCATGGTCTAGTCACTGGTCTCCGTGTGTCGCTCCCCGCCCTACGTACATCAGTAGCGCCAGTGTGCACGTCCTGCGTCGAGGGCCGACAGCGCACCGCCCCTCACCCCTCCTCGTTTCCTCCAACCACAACGCCACTACAGACACTGCACAAGGACGTCTGGGGCCCTGCCCCGGTCCATGGTCTTAGTCGGGAGCGCTACTTTCTAGTCGTCGTTGACGTCTTCTTGCCCTTCACCACAGTGTTCCCGTTGGAGCGGAAGGCCGACGCGCCTACCGTTCTCCTCCCATGGCTTCTCACTGTTCGCACCCACCACCGCTTGCCTGTAGGTCGCTTACACTCTGACCGAGGTGGCGAGTTCACCTCTGGCACTCTAGGACGGTTCTGTCATGCGGAGGGCATCCGCCAGACGTACACACCGCCGGACTCCCTACAGCAGAATGGGGTTGCTGAGCAACGCATCGGCCTGATCATGGAGGTTGCTCTCACCTCTATGGTCCACGCCGTTGCACCCCATTTTCTGTGGCCGTTAGCTGTGCGCTACGCTGCTCACCAGCTTAACCTGTGGCCACACTCCCAGTGGCCACAGGTTTCGCCGACCCTCTTCTGGACCCGGTCTCCTGGTGACGCATTTGCGTTCCATGTCTGGGGCAGCCTTGCTCATGTCCACGATACTCGCGCGGACAAGCTCTCAAACCGCACCCTTCTTTGTGTCTTCCTGGGGTTTCCACTTGACGCCTCTGACTGACTGTCCTACCATCCGTCACACCACCGTTTTTACCACTCTCGTGGCGTTACCTTTGAGGAGACACTCCCCTACTACTGGCGTTTCCCGCACTGCAGCGCTCCTATGCCTTCTCCTCCTCTCTTCCTTATCCCTTCCTCGCCTGCCGCACCCCTCCCGCCCTGCCCGACCCAGTCTGGTGTCTCCCACACCACTCAGTTCTCCTCAATTGCGCCTGTGGGGGAGTCGGCTGACTCTGGGAACCTAGCTGCTGGGGGCGCGCCTGCTGTCCCTACGGCACCTCCCACAACCTTGGTACCCTAGTCCCCTCAGCCGCATCCCCCCTTGCCTCAGCAGCAGCAGCAGCAGCCACCACAGCAGAGTCAGTGGTCGTAGCAGCAGGAACAGCAGCAGGGAGTAGTGGGCTCTGGGGGTGCTGGTGTTGGACGTGTTGGTGTTGGGGGTATTGGTTCTGGGGGTGCGAGTTTTGGGGGTGCTGACTCTATGGGTGCTGGTTCTGGGGGTGCGAGTTCTGGGGGTTCAGGTTCTGTGGGTGGTGTGTCCGAGGGTGCTAGTCTTGGGGGTGCTATTTCGGGGAGTGCCGGTGGCAGCCGCGGTGCCACTGGAGGTCCTGGAGAGGAAAGAGAGCAGTAATCGCAGCAGTAATCTCTGCGATGGCTTCAGCAGCAATCGCAGCAGCAGCCGCAGCAGCAGCCACAGCAGGAGGTGCAGCCACAGCAGCAGGCGCAGCTGCCGCAGTAGGAGCAGTCGCAGTCTGCCCTTCGTCTCCTTGGTCTTGCTCTAGGTTCCCCTGTCCGCCCGCCCGTTCCCCCTCCGGTGCGTGACCCAGTTTACAACCCGTTGTTCCCTCCTCCGAACTCCTCTTTGGCTCGTTTTCCCCCGCGCTCCCCTCTGTCCCCTGACTTGTCCCTCGTTCCCCCTCGTCCCCAGTCCCTAATTCTTCCCCACTGGGTCCGTCGCCCCTTTGGTGCTCGTCCTGTCTCTCCCCGTCCTAGTGTCCATCCTATAGTCCTTTGTTCACGTGCTCCTCTTGTCACAAACCTCCCGTTGCCTCCCTCGTCGTCGCTCCTGTCGTTCCCCCCTCCTCGCTCCGACGCTGCTCGCACTACTTGTCCAGTCCTCTCGTGCGCTCTTGCATCGCTTGTCACTAACCCTACTGCACCTCCTGAGTCTGTCTCTGCGCTTGTCGCAGTTGTCACTGACTTTGCTGCTAGCCACCGCCTTGACTATGCTGCCGCTCTGGTCTCTGGTACATCGTAATAGGTGCATCTGCCCTTGGCATTGACATGCTAGAGGACAGGCAGTACGGGTTGGCCTACCTTGTTGCCGCTGTTCCCTATCTCTGCTCCATGCTTGTATCCCCAGAGGGCGACCCAGACGCTCTCGACATCCATGTTCCGCACTCTTACGCTGAGGCGGTGTCGGGGCCCTTGGCAGCCTAGTGGATACATGTCATGGAGGCTGAGATGGCATCCTACACATCCATAGGCACTTACGTTGACGCGGTTCCTCTGCCTGGGGCGAAGGTAGTCGATGGCATGTGGATCTACAGGGTGAAGCGCGCACCTGGAGAGCCGCCGAAGTTCAAGGCGCATTACGTGGCTAGAGGCTTCAATCAGCGTGAGGGTGTGGACTTCTTCCCGATCCTGTTTGCTGACATCAGGGCCATGATCCTCGTGTGTCAAAAGACTCGACTTGAGGGCAGGGCGAAGCACATCCAGCTGCGGTACTTCACGAATTATCCAGTGAACACCATTTTGTTATTGAACACGCTCTGTTACATACTGGAACAGCCACTCCCAGTGCAGCAGACTAAACGCCTTCTAGGATCACACACCAAAGAGCTTGCCAGCCACAATGCCAGCAAAGACCAGAGCGCCGAATGTCCAGTTGGAAGCAAACCTGAAAAGGAAGATGGAATGAGGGAGGGGCAGGGAAAGTGGTGAGACGTCTCAAAACAATTATTCTATCTCGTAGTTTGCCAGCCACAATGCCAGAAAAGACCAGAGCCCCAAAGGACCAGTTGGAGGCAAACCTGAAAAGGAAGAAGGAATACCGGTAAGATGAAGATGGGCAGGGAAAGTACCAGCAGATATCGATACACACCCTGCGAATTTTGGCTGACATGCAAAGAAGGCGCCTAACATACTAATTCCAATGCTTGGTACCCTTGGAACACTAGCATGGGCCATCAGTTGCACACTCATTGAAGACGGTGTGCGTAGATGAAAGAGCGGGGATGCAAGAGCGGGGATGTAAGAGCGGGGATGCAAGAGCGGGGATGTAAGATTGGGCTCACATTCTTGCAAGAGAGTGAGTGGAAGAAGACTCACTTGGAGTAGCAGTCCTCCCGGTTGTTGTGGTTCATGGATGCTATCTGCCATGCCATGTGCGCTGCTGAAGCTGCTGCTGCTTTGCTGATGCTGATGCTGCTGCTGCCACTACCAGTGAGGCACAGAGGAGGCCAAACAGACTCACTTGGAGTAGCAGTCCTCCCGGTTGTCGTAGTTCGTGGATGCTATCTGCCATGCCATGTGTGCCCCTGCCGCTGCCAGTGCCGCATAGTATGGGGAGCCTGAACCGCACCAGAGGAGACCACAGGAGAAGAAAGACAAGAGAATGACGGGCTGAGAGAGGAAGCATAAAGGAAGATAAAGAGAAGGAGGCTGAGGGGAAGGAGGATGAAGGGAAGGAGGATGAGAATGATCAGCAGGTAAATGGAGTACGGGAGTGCCAACGGAAAGCAATGACAAGGCAGGTCATTACCAAGGTTGACAGCAGAGCCAGCAGCAGCCAGGCTGGCGATGGATGCTGCACCAAAGAGGGAGAGGTAGAGGGGCGTGCGGTGGGCGAAGAGCAGCGCTGTGGACTTGACCCCTGCAGTGATGTCATCCGCCTTGTCCTGAAGAGACGCAAGAGTAACATCATCGAGGGGAGTTGTAGCATGCCGGGGAGAGTGTGCTGGAGCGAGAGAGTAGGCATCATGGCTAGAAGGGCGTGCGGTGGGCAAAGAGCAGCGCTGTGGACTTCACTCCTGCTGTGATGTCGTCCGCCTTGTCCAGAGGAGATGCAGGAGGAACATCATGGAGGGGAGTCGTGGCATGGGAGGGAGAGGGGTTGAGTGAGACAGCAAGCACCATGGCCAGCTAGAAGGGTGTGCGGTGGGCGAAGAGCAAAGCTGTGGACTTGACCCCTGCCGTAATGTCGTCCGCCTTGTTTGTCCCGTGATTCCGTGGCACGGGAGGCATCGAGAAGAAAGCACAATGATACAAGATCATGTGCAAGCACAGGAGAAATGGAACGGCGTGCGGTGGGGTGGGTGAAGTGAAAAGGTTGATTTCACTCTGCTGTGATGTCGTCTGCCTTGCCCTGTGGCCACGGGGGCACTGGAGGCATAAAGAAGAAGGGTGAGTTGGTTGGAGGACAAGTGTAGAGTACAGGGCATCTGCAAACGCTGGAGAATCGGAATGGTGTGCAGCCGGCAAAGAGCGGTGCTGCTGACTTCACTCCTGCCGTGACGTCGTCTGCTTTGCCTTTGCCATGTTGTTTACAGGTTTCTGTTGACCCTTGTAAGAAGGGGTCGCCTGAAAAGCCATCGTTCTGAGGTCCATTCTTAGTGACTATAGATCGTGTTGTATACTAGTACAGCAGATGAGACTATCGAAAGGGGTTTCATTACCTGGTGAGCGTAGATAGTGTCGTACACTAGCGTCCAACAGATGCCGCCCGCATACAGCGGCAGCACAGCTGGCAGGTTCAGCGAGCCGTGCACTGCCGCCCAGCCCAGAAGAGCACCCCAGTTGAAAACAAGACCGAGATAAGCTTGAGGCTGGGAGCGGGAAGAAGGGAGTGGACGGAATAAAGTGCCTCAGTGACGGCAAGTGGGAGAAATTGCACGTGCAAGAGGTTGCCCGAGCTGTGCCCACCCCAGCCCAGTCCAGCCCAAGAGAGCATCCCAGTTGAAGACAAGGTCGAGGCAGGCTTGAGGCTGGAGCAAGAAAGACAGGGAAGGCATGGAGGCAATTTTGAAGCTTACAACATCACCACAAGGCATGCACACCCACGTAAGACCTTACCCAGTGAGTGAATCGCTTCATAAGGGGGTAGGAGAAGACGAGGGGCAGTGATGCTGCTCCCAACACCTGGCTGCACGAGGCACGCACCACGAGGCAGAGGTAGTGGACCCGGGAGAGAGAACGATGGGTAGAACGGGGGCAACGAGAGCATGGGCTGTACTGCACTGCACAAATGCTCACAAGCCGCTCATGTACTCACAAGATAGCGGCACTTCTGCATGGCTCCCTTCAGCCTCACGCTCACATCGCCTCCTGTAACTAGACATGGGCATGAGCCGAGCCTGGCTCGGCTCGGCTCGTTTGGGGTCGAGCCGGCTCGGCTCGCCTCGAGCCGGGTCCTCAGGATCCCCGGGTCGGCTCGTCAGGGGGGCTTGTGCGGGCTCTCAATTGGGGCCACGGGGCTTGGGGTCTCTAGTATAAGGGGATAATCCATATTATTTAGCTGATCGTCTGCTCCTACATCTTGCAAAACTATCAGGAGGAGCTGCCGGTTTAAATATGGCTGGCTGAGGTCGATAGACTAGCGCGATAGGGTGAAAGTTGGGTTGGCAGACAATATTGGCGGGGGGGGGGGGGGTTGTCGATCTGAAATTTGACAGTCGCGAAACCCCCCTTTCCCTAGCCGCGAGCCGGCTGGCTCGAAATCGAGCCAGCTCGAGCCGGCTCGTCTCCGGCTCGCCTGATTTCACGTGTGCGAGCCGAGCCGAGCCGCCGGCTCGAGTCGAGCCGAGCCGGCTCGACTCGAGTCGAGCCGGGTACCAAAAAAGGAGGCTCGGCTCGCCTTAAAGGCGAGCCGAGCCGAGCCGAGCCAGGCGTGGCTCGGCTTGTGCCCATGTCTACCTGTAACATGCAGAAATACCCTTGCTCCATGATCCACCCACTTATCCTGCACCACTGTCTGACGCGCTGAAAACGACCTCACCTGTACGTGTTCAGCTGCACCAGTATTCCAAGCCCCAGCAGTAACTGTAACCCGAGAAAAGATGAAGCACCGAGGGGGGTGACAGCCCCGGCAGGCAGAGGGCGGGTCCTGGTGCGCGCCACCTTGGCGTCAAAGTCTTGATCAAGCAGATCGTTGATGGTGCAGCCTGCTCCTCTTAAGAGCACTGCTCCCGAGCCGAAGAGGAAGAGGAGTAAAGGGTCCGGGAGAGCGCCTGCTGGAGCAGCCAGGGCGATGGACCTTGGGGGGGGGAAGTGGAAGAGAGGGGGGACGGAGGGGGGAAGAGGGAAAGGAGGGTAAGAAAGGAGGGCGGCCAGAGAAATGAACCTTGGCGTCAAAGTCTCGGTCCAGCAGATCGTTCACGGTGCAGGCCGCTCCTATGAGCACTGCTCCTGAGCCGAAGAGGAAGAGGAGTAAAGGGTCGGGGAGAGAGCCTGCTTTAGCAACCAGCGCGATGGACCTTGGGGGGAAGAGGAGGGAAGGAGGGGATAGGAATTTTTATAGGCGCCTAAAAAATCGTCTGAGCCGAAGAGGAAGAGGAGTAAGGGTCCGGGAGAGAGCCTGCTGGAGCAGCCAGGGCAATCGACCTAGTGGGGAAGAGGAGGGAAGGAAGGATAGGAAAGGAGAAAGGGAAGGGCGGCCAGCGCAATGGAGCTTGGGCGTCAATGCCTCGATCCAGCAGGCTTCTGACGGAGCAGCCTGCTCCCTGGGGGAAACACACCAGAGGACACCAGGCTACGAGCAATCCCACAAGAAGCACCAACACCAGCGGGAAGCATAGCATGCCAGAGGACGGTCGTCAATGGCTGATCATACCAGAAGCAAGGCCAGGCGAGCAGCCACGTGCCAGTGGGCTTGTCCAGGCGAGCCAGATGAGCAAACGGCTGCACTGGGGCTGGCAAATACCGCTCTATCCACGATGCACTCTCACCACCGCTGCTGCCGCTGCCACTTCTAGCACTGCTGTCGCTGCTGCTGTCGCTGCTGGTGCTGGTACTGTCACTAATGCTTCTGCTGGCGTTGCTGCTGTTGCCATCTCTACTACCGTCACCGTTGCTGCCTGCTGCTGTACTGCTGGCTAGCCTAGCAAAGCTAGGCGACAAGTCCCGTGCCGTACAAGCTCCTGTGCCCGCTTGGTACTGCGCAACCCAGACAGGAGAGCTAGGCCCAGGTCTAATTCTAGGTGTATATGCTGAGGCTTGTTCCAATGTTCCTCTCTCTTCGTCCTCCTGTCTCCAGTGTATATGGTTGGATAAGTACTGTGTGGTTGGAGATTGTACGGGACTTGAGAAGACCTTATAAGGTGGATGAACGCGGGACGACTTGTGGGCCGATTTTCGAGAATCTGGAAGGATCTGAGCCATAGAAATATCTTCAGATCGTAGATCAGCGATGCTTCCTACCGTTGGATCAGAATCGGACGGCGATCTGGAAGCAAAGGGCGGAATGCCGTTGGACGAACCAGAAAGGAACGAACTTGGACGGAAATTGTCAGGGATAACGGAATAAACCGGCTCGCGATACGAGCTGCTGACGCCAGCCTCGCTCAGAGTGGGACCGACTATGTGCGATCTCAGCGAAGCTATCAGGACGACGCATTGTGACTGTAACGGGTCCTTTAATCGCCAGATCGACCTCCGCATCACACCGGATAGCGCCATGCCCTAGGGATTGGAAAACTGATCAGAAAATTTCAGCGAAGAGCGTAGAGTGGCTAGGGTTTCTTGGATTGAGAAGAAGCATATATCACCCAGCGGTGCTGACGGCGCATATTGGATACTAGTCACTGTACTATTGGCTCATCGTGCAAAAACTTCATCATGTGGCCTGCTCATTCGTACCCAGCAGTAACGCATAAAACCGATGGAACACAACCAGGCTGCGAAAGAAGCTGAAGGAGTAGAGTTCAGCGAGGGAGGCAACATGGAAGCTGACGACAGGAACGGCGAGAAAATCGTAGACCCCACCAAGTTCGGCAACATCAAAGTTACCTGCACCACACAGCACCGTACACCACCTGATTGAAACCATCAGGAACTAATCACAAACCTAGCACCATTTGAGGTTCGGGTGGGGGCTTGTTCAAATTCCCTAGTTCCAGATGCGAGGTCCACAGAGTTGAGCCTCGTGTCAGGTAGGTGTCAAGCTCGCGTTTACAGAAGGTCCTCGTAATGCCAGTCGCTCGTTTTCGGCAACAACCAACTTCTCTTCGCAGGGGGTCACTCTTTCACAAGTCACGCCAGGCAACCTGCCTTCTGATTCGGCACCAGTTCCTAAATACTCTCTCATCACCTTGGACGGGGGTGTTTTTTGTTGCTGTTTTCGCTGTTTGGGCCAGTTTCTGCCTCAGTCAGCCACTGTAGACTGAGGCAACACAGCCAGCAGGATGTGTGTTTGGTCAACACTGGTGCTTGGCCATTGCCTAACTTAGAAGCAACTGAGGAGGAGCACGGCTAGCTATTGCTTTGTAACCCAACTTTACGCCATTAGAAGCAACTCGTTCCTCCTTTTCTGCTAAGCAGGAACTGTAAATATGCTTACCAGTGCGAGGACAGCCTATAACTCGAACTACAACCTGCTTATTTTTACCGATGGCGGCTTCTAACGACATTCCGTCGGGTACAGTCACATTAACTGACAGTTCTCCTTTACCTAGTCGACAAGTTCACCGTGTCCCGTCAGCACTGAGCCGGCTATGTACAAACAGGAATAGTTCCCCCAAGTGGTCTGTTCGTACGTGGTTTATTCTCGTCGCGATTATTGCATTCAACTTCTGGTGTCCACTGGTCGCGTCATCATCAGGACGATTAAGTCCTGAAATTGAGCCACTAGCTGACGTTTCATCGCAACCATGCTGCATGAATCGCACGAGCGAACTGACAGTCACTGACGCCGAGCAACAAGTACTTATTTCCCGCCAGCTCAGTGCGTTAACCTCTGACAACGCTAACTCGACGCGTGGTAACATCCATGTTTGGGAGCCGGCTGAGCAACCTGCTCCTAGTGCATCCAGCACTGCGTCTAGTAGTGAGTCGACTTATAATGGTGATATTTCGACGCCGATATCCGTCAGTGGAGTTGACTCCAGAAGAGTTTTATCAAAAGAGAATGAGGTGAAGATCGGGTGCCTCGTCGCAACGGACGTCGCTGAAGGCATTCATATGCTGGCAGGTGGGGTGGCTGGGTTTGTATGAGGGGTCCAGGAAGGTGCGATGCGGTGGAGGTTGGGGTGATCGTCAGGCGTTTCAAGGAAAGGCTGGTGGGTGAGTGGGTTAAAGAGGATAATAGTGAGGCGGAATAATATGCAGAAACCAGTCAGAGGGAATTGAGGTGATTGGGAGACTCCTCAGGGCCGGCAGGTGTGATTTTTGGGGTGAATGAGGGGCCCGGGATGGATTTGGTAGGTGGGGTGACTGATGATAGAGATTGTTTGTTCCAGCTAACATGATATTCTGGCATCAGCTGACCTGGCACGCTGACCTGGGCGCAGGCATGGTCTGTTGGGTGGTAAAATGTTGCATGGCTCTTTTGAGTGGAGTGTCTTGACTCCCACAGGCAGGCATGCTCTGTGTGTCGGAATATGTCAATGGACATTCGATTCCAGTCTCAGCAGGTTTTCAACAACAGTTGTTTGTGCGCGTGCTTTCTCTCCTCTCCCTCCTCCATGCCTCTTCTTGATGTGTGTGTGCGTGCGTGCGTATGCATGTGCACGCATGGTGCATGTATGTGTGCATGTGCATGCATGGTGCATGTATGTGTGCATGTGTAAGCACGCCTGCAGGCAGCGTGATGGCAGTGGATGCCATCAACAGCGACCCCTCCATCCTCCCACATCACCATCTGCGCCTCACCACTGCCAACTACTCTATGGCCGCTCCCATCGGTAGCATGATGGCAGGTGAGAGAGGCATGGGTGCATAGACATGGGTGCATGGGTGCGTGTGTCTGCACGTATGCGAGTGCACGCCTGCAGTCAGTGTGATGGCAGGTGAGAGGCATGGCAGCATGATGGCATGTGAGAGGCATGGAAGCATGATGGCAGGTGAGAGCCATGGCAGCATGATGGCAGGTGAGAGGCATGGCAGCATGATGGCAGGTGAGAGGCATGGCAGCATGATGGCAGGTGAGAGGCATGGCAGCATGATGGCAGGTGAGAGGCATGGCAGCATGATTGCAGGTGAGAGGCATGGCAGCATGATGGCAGGTGAGAGGCATGGCAGCATGATGGCAGGTGAGAGGCATGGCAGCATGATGGCAGGTGAGAGGCATGGCAGCATGATGGCAGGTGAGAGGTATGGTAACATGATGGCAGGTGAGAGGCATGGCAGCATGATGGCAGGTGAGAGGCATGGCAGCATGATGGCAGGTGAGAGGTATGGTAACATGATGGCAGGTGAGAGGCATGGCAGCATGATGGCTGGTGAGAGACATGGCAGCATGATGGCAGGTGAGAGGCATGGCAGCATGATGGCAGGTGAGAGGCGTGGCAGCATGACAGGTGAATGAGTCCTGCATCCACTACACAGCTTCACATCTCTTCGCACTCCCCTTGTGTGCTCTCTCTCCCCGCACGCGCACTCTCAGCCTACAGCCTTGTGCTGCAGAATGCGGTGACAGTGATCGGCCCAGACACGTGAGAGCAAGCAGCACTTGCAGTTCTACGGACATCCAGCTCACCACTCTCCTTCCGCGCTTTTCCCCCCCACTCCTTAACAACCCCTGCTCACCCCCTCGCCCCCCTCGCACACACACCGTCAGCCTACCTACAGCCTTGTGCTGCAGCATCCAGTTGCAGTGATTGGCCCTCACACATCAGAGCAAGCTGTGCTCGTGAGCCCGTTTGCCACTGCCACGCAGGTCCCGTTTGCAGTCCCTTTCTCACTCCTCCCTGTGGTATGTATCCGACCCCCTTTTTCCACACGCTCTCAGCCTACAGCCTTGTGCTGCATCATCCCGTGGCAGTGATCGGCCCGCACTCGTCAGAGCAAGCAGCACTCGTGAGCCCGTTTGCCACCGCCACGCAGGTGCCCTTCGTGTCTGCGTCTGCAACAGACGCCCAGCTGACCGTCGGTGGCAACCGCCCCTTCTTCATGCGCACTGTGCAGGGTGACGGCCACCAGATGAAGGCCATTGCAGGTACGCAAGTGCTCTCGCCAACCCTCCCCACCATCCTCCCGGCTCTATATTTCCAAGGTTCCGTTGATCTCAGCGTCTGCTGACAGACGCCCAGCTGACCATTGGTGGTAACTGCTCCTTCTTCATGCGCACCGTGCAGAGCGACGGGCACCAGATGAAGGGCATTGCAGGTATGCATGCTTTTCCCTTAACCAGGTAGTGTTCATCTGCTCTTTCTATTCGCTGTGTCACCATCTTGCAATGAGTCTCAGTGATGCTCACGTCACGTCCATCCGTTTTTCCCCCGACAGCAGACATTCTGGCGATCTACAAGTGGAGGGAGTTCGTTGTCATTTGAGGTGACTTTTGAGTCGACTCAAATCGACTTCTGAGCCGGCTTAAAAGTAAACTCAGTGATGCTCACATTCGTCCGCTTCCCATTGCCGCCAGATATTCTGGCGATCTACGAGTGGAGGGAGTTCATTGCAGTTCACAGCGATGACCGGTACGGGGCCAATGGAATCACGGCCCTTGAAACATGCGTGCTTGCGCTTAATGTGAGTGACTGCAGTAAGTGTGAGTGATTGCAGTGAGCGTGAGTGATAGCAGTTTTTTTTATTTTTGCTTTCAGTGATCCCAGGAGTGAGTGATTGCAGTGAGTGTGAGTGATTGCAACTGGATGTGAGTGGCTGCTGCGAAGGTGAGTATCCCTGCCCTGCCCCTGTTCTGTCAACTCATCCAATCCTGGCAGGCAGTAGCACGTCTCTGTGTGAATCCTCGGATCGTAGCATCCACCTATGTTGCTTGTCTGCTGCAGACTGTCTGTCTGTCAGCCGCACGCCTGCCCCCTCCTCTTCCTGTTCCGCTGCAAGGCATCCGCATGGCGCATCACGTGGCCATCACTCCTGCGAGCACAGCAGCAGAGGAGGGGAGGCATTTACTGCCATGGCTGGAGTTGAGCATCGAGACTCTGCTCCCCCCCTCTCCTTCCCTCCCTCCCCCTCCCTCCCCCTCCCTCCATCTCCCTCCTTCTTATCCGCTGCAAGGCATCCGCATGGCTCATTGCGTGGCCATCTCTCCTGGGAGCACAGCAGCAGAGGAGGGGAGGCATGTACTGCTGCTGTCGGAGTGGATTATTGAGTCTCTGCTTCCCCCCCCTCCCTCCCTCCCTCTCCCTCCTCTTTCTATCCGCAGCAAGCCATCCGCGTGCCTCATTGCATGGCCATCTCTCCTGGGGACGCAGCTGTAGAGTTGGAGAGGAGACGCACCTGCTGCTGCTGCAGGAGAGGCACCTGCTGATCTGATTCTCTGCTCCCTCCCCTGCCTTTCCGCATCCCCTCGATCCTTCCACCCACCCTCCTTTGTTTGCAGAAAGGCATCAGCATGGCCCATCGCGTGGCCATCTCTCCTGGGGACACAGCAGCAGCAGTGGAGCAGCACCTGCAGCTGCTGCTAGAAGTGGACATTGCTGTGTACGTGCTGCACGCGTCGGCTGCTGTTGCCAAGGCCATCATTCTTGCTGGTGAGTGTGATGTGAGCGAAGTATGTGGCAGGAGGGGAGCGGTTGAGAGGGTGAGAGAGAGTGAGAAAGACGTTGGGGTGGGCAGCAAGGCTGAATGAAAAGCAATTGCTGTTAACTCTCTGCAAAGGGCCCAAGTGCAAACTTCCCGC